CTTCTCCGCTTGAGAAATCTTTCCTTGTGCCAGTAGAAAAGCATTTCCTCTCCAGGTAAGGCATCATTTAAAATCCCAAATCAAGTTGTACTATAATTATAAATGCTGTTTCCCTATCCTAAGTATTTGTGGAGGCCACTGTATACTTCTTTGGAACAAAAGTACAGATTGAACATTTCTTATCTAAAATACATAGAACCAGAAAGGTTTCAGTTTAAAAATTTTTTTCAGGTTTTGGATTATTTATATATAAAAGATGAGGTATATTGGAAACCAAATCTAAACATAAGAATCATTTATATTTCACATGTACCTTAAACATGGGATCAAAAAGTAATCTTCCGCCGGGCGGTGGTGGCGCACGCCTTTAATCCCAGCACTCGGGAGGCAGAGACAGGCGGATCTCTGTGAGTTCGAGGCCAGCCTGGACTACCAAGTGAGTTCCAGGAAAGGCGCAAAGCTACACAGAGAAACCCTGTCTCGAAAAACCAAAAAAAAAAAAAAAAAAGTAATCTTCCATATTTGTAGTGCATCGAGGATTAACTATGACCTACTGTGAGGAAAGTACAATTGTCCTCTTGAGTCATATTGGTACTGAAAAGGTTTTAGCTTTTGTAGCAATTCACACTCCGGATTAGGGAAACGCTATCTGGCCCATTTCCATGTGAAAGCTAATTTTAGATAAATGAACAGTTTGATGGATTATCCCCCTATAAACCTTAGGTAGCTCTAGGTTCCTCAGTCTCCTTACACCAGAAGTGTAAGAATGATGAGGCCAGGTGGGGAAATGTCTAGGAATGGAGTTCACTTTTGCCTCACAAAAACCAGGGGAGGAAGAAAGAAGGGGTGAGAATGTGGGGCGGCAAAGGAAAGAGGAGCCAAATGAACACTCACCTGCACTACACAGGGAGACAGACTCTGGTTCAAAAAGAAGTACAAACAGCACAGGTTCTCTGAAGCTGAGAAAATATAAACACCCTGGAGCCTGAAGAAAAGGCCCGGGTTGTCCTCTAGGGCTCAACAAAGACCATGATATTTCCTAGTACTGCCCAATTTCAAGTTAACTGTGTAAACAGAGGTTCTGCTTCCCACAACTTACAGAAAACATGCAGAAAAAGGAAAGGGAGACTCCGTGTTCACCACCTACTGGTTGAGAAAAAGTGGGCGCCCTATACCTCTGACCTGTTCCTTATGAGTAACAGGTTTTAATAAGAGCACCCACCCAGGACTAGAAGGATTCACCCAGAGTCACAGACACACATGAAATGCGTACTAATGATACTAAAGGAATGTTATTCCCTTCTCTTTCTATCTCCTCATGCCCAAGCAGTGTTATACCTACAAGGGAGGAAGGAAGACATCAGAGCCCATCTAAAGACACTGCCACCAGCCAAATCCAGAACAAGATGCTATCAGGGGTCCTCATAAAAATAAGCCCATCTCATCAATACAGGACCCGAGAGTTTGAAAATATTAAGGAATACTAAAGCAACGGGTAACAGCTAACTAAAGAACATGGTATTCAGGACTGGAGCGACGGCTCAGCAGCTGGAGTACTTGCTGAGCCATGAGGACCGGAGGTCAGAGCTCAGCACCGACAGCCAGCCAGACATCCCTTTCTGCCCGCACTTCCAGCCCCAAGAACTGCACAGCACTCGCCTGACCTCTGCTTGTGTACAGACTCACACATCAGCATGTGATATGCACATACATAAGAATTAAAACACAAAAACCAGGACATTTGCCCGTCTCAAAAAAATCTCTCCAAAGTGCTCATTAGCTTCAACAAGGAAAAGTGACTTTCCAGAGTCTGTGGCAGCTACCACCTTAACAGAATGCTCGCTGTTAACTTCATCAATATGGAACAGGCATCACCAGGGGTACTGCAAATAAAATACTGCTTTAGAAATCCTATCAGAGCTGTGTGCTCTAAGCCAAGTGTGGCCGTGAACACATGGAATTCCAGCAGCTGAGGGGTGGAGGCAAGAGTTCAAGGCCGGCCTTGACTCTACAGAGACTATGAGACCAACATGGGCTACATGACACTCTGCCTCAATAAATCAAAACAGCAGCAATAAAAAGGGAAAACTATATGATCTGACTCTAATCATCAGGAAATATTTTAAAAAACAATTGGCTTGTGTGAATGCAAGTTCCCAGAAACAAGCCACACCTGTGTTAAACAAGCTACAAGATAGTGACAGGTTTTAGAAAGCAAGTATGCTATAGGCTGAAAGCCAAACTTATTCTGAGCTAGCTTTAGCTCCCTTACTAGCCATTTATTTCCCACCTGTGTGTGGGACCTAACAGTCTCGTGACTTATCAGGTAAATCCTGGAATGTACACAGAGACTCAGCCTCCACCAATGCAACAAGAATGTCAATCAGATCCGATCTCAGCAGCACAGCAGAGGTTCCCCATCTTGCTGTGTGTCCTGTCTACCTGGTGCTTCCACCAATGTGTTTGAAGCGCACCTTGATTTATGATTTCCTTTACTCTGCTACTATCAGAACTCCATGAAACCATTACATCGGAACACGGTATTTAGGGCAACCTAAATCTGCGTTCCTAAGCCAGTCACTCACATTGGGCTTTAAGTAAATTCTCTCTTATTCCCTCTGAACTGAGAGCTTTGTTTTTGTTTGTTTTGCATCGACAGAGCTATTGTAGACATACCAAGCTTAATGAACTATTATGGATTGGACCCTGGGCCATGAAAACAGGTATAAAAAGTGAAATTGGGACAGTCACTAAGAACTGACCACGGGCTACACACTAGCCATTACTGCACCAATGTTCAGTTTCCTGGAACTGTACTACCGTGGTCACTAGGCAATACACACCACAGTATCTGGTAGTAAAGTTCATGCCTGTGATTTACTTTCCAACAATAAATGGAAAAATACTGAAGAATTATAAAGAAGGTGGTTTATTTGGGCAAAACATATATGGGGATATCTTTTTAAACTTTAAAAATCTGAAATCATGTTAAAATACAAAATTTAAAACATTTCTGAAAAATAAATGATATTTTTATATATTAAGGAAAATTTCTTCCTAACTGACATCTCTTATTTTTATCCCTCTCAAATCATGTATAAAGATTTGAATATTTTAAAACATACACACAGAACAGCAACTTTTGATTAGACAAACTGTAGTAAATCCTTCCATCAATAATCAATAACAGTAAGAAGAAAATCACAGTAACTCGAATGAGCATTATTTATCTACTCTTCAAGCGTTAATATTAGTGGAAGAACTGAACTGTCTAATTTTTAATAGTGTTCTACCTATCAAGCATAAAAAATACAATGAAGCAGGTTGTCACCATGCAACCATATACCTTCTTTAGTGAATGTGACATGATCTGCTGTTTCATGAGCAGGAAAATACTGAGATGGCACTTCTAAGTGCACGCTAAGAGAGCCCAAGGGACCCAGAGCCCAGAGATCACTATCTTGCTTCTCTATCACATTACAAAGTCCAGCTAGCTCAATTTGATTAATCTGAAGGAGCATGCACAGCAGAAAACATCAGTCCTAAAGGGTGCTATAGCAATCAGCAGGGCTGCAGTCAGGTCTCATTCCTTTGCACACAGCTTGGGAAGACAGGCATGTCTAGAAGAAGAAAACAGTCAACCATCATCAAAGATGTGATCCAATCAAGTGAGCCAACCTCTGTAACCCAAACCGAGCGGTTCAATCTGCTCAGTCTTCAGACATTTTCTAAAGGCTAAGATTGTAAATAAAGACAGTTTAAACAGGTGAAGACGGAAACTGTGTAAAGCTAAAGCAGACCTGCTTCCTCATCCTCATCCTCCTCTTCCTCATCATCGGAAGCTGATGACAAGGGAGTTGGTGTGGAGCTAGCTTGATTATTAACATAGTCACCATACTGCATGCCTGTAAAGTGGAAAGCACAAACACAAGAGTCAAACCAACAGGAAAGGCAAGGACATAAATCTTGACATTACATTCAAAGTGAGAAAGAACTCTGACATTCCAAAGAACATCCCAGCATGCATATTAATATCAGCAGATTATTATCAAAACCAGAACCATTAGAAAAATCTATGCAGAGCAGTTTAGTAAAAGCGATTTGAATTCGAACTAACTGGTTTAAGCATGAAAAAAGTACCATATATTACACTGACTTTGGACTCCACAGTGGGGTTCTCAGAAAGCATCTGTGAGCTCTAGCCCCCTTTACCATCTTCAGCCTTGCGACTGTTGTAGGGCACTGCTTTGAGAATGTGCATTCCCAGCAGGCAGTGATCATTTCTACTGAACTAAATTTGTATGGCTGAATGCTAAACACATTCAGTGTTAGGTTCCTTCTCTATGCTAATGCCACTCTGATGGTAGCTTGGTTGCCTTAGGAGAAGAATGACAGTTAAAAAGCTGTACTGAGTACAGTTCTCTGCTCACTGGGGACACTGTGGCTTTAAGTTCACAGTGACACAGCAGTGCCTTTCGTGAGATGCCCAGTCTCGTCAGAGTCACCCTACAGCCTACATGTGGGTGGAATAAGATCAGGACGTCTGAACTCCACCATGGAAAAGACACACAGTCTGGTGTGGCTCCCTGTGTAAGGCTTCCTTTGTCATACAGTTACTACTACATATTATTAACTTGTCTGGTAAGGTCAAGATGTGAAAATTAACATCCATAAAATTTTAAAGGAAAATACAACTAACCTAACTTAAAAATGACAACACTTTACAAATAGGAGTAAACACATGCTTACAAGGAAAATCTCACAGCTCTATTTTGAAAAAGAAAAGCTTCAGAAGCAGAGCTGGGATCTCCAGGTATACTCAGTACACTGGAGGCATGGGCAGCGTCAGCAATCCCAGGCTCTGCCGCCTCACAGGCTCTCACCGTTATTTTTCAGGGGGCCTTTTTGGTTATGTTGGTAAACAGAACTCATCTTGAGAGTGAGGAAGTGCTGCTAACAGTCACATTGTGTAAGTCACACTGTGTAAAGCTAAAGCAGACCTGCTTCCTCATCCTCATCCTCCTCTTCCTCATCATCGGAAGCTGATGACAAGGGAGTTGGTGTGGAGCTAGCTTGATTATTAACATAGTCACCATACTGCATGCCTGTAAAGTGGAAAGCACAAACACAGAGCTCAGAGGAGAGCAAAAGTTAATCTGCAGGTAAGTAAAGCTTTGCTCTTCCCACTAATCCGAAGTGTAGTGGGAAATCTGCTAGCTTTACTGACTTGGGGTTTATTTTTCTTTTGTTTTTCCAGCTGGTTCACTCTGTAGCCCAGACTGGTACTCCTCAGTCTCAGCTCCCTAAGTGATGAGATTACAGGTGTGAACTATCATCGTACCTGGCTAGCTGGAACATTTCATACAGTTAAAATAGCAGTTATCTTGAATTCAGCTGAGAAAGTAAAACTCAATAGAAAACAGGTTCACATATTACATAACAAATTGACACCTTCCAAAGTCAGTGGCATGGTCCTCTAACCACCTCTTAAAATAAAAATTTATCTAATATTAGACCATAAGCTAAATATACAAAGAAGTTAAAATTCAACAGATCAATAGCAAAAGGTTTTATACAGAAGAAATCCTGAAATTTAATGACTTATTTTAAATGTCATACTTCTTCAATGGGCTATTAATAGTGTACTTTAAAGATACACGTGTGTGTGAAGACACAAGACAAAGAGACTCTGTTGTCGGATTAAAGAGGCCAGCAAAGGAACAGTGAGAAGAGACCATTCTTCAGGACTGGGTTAGTATGGTTGTTTGGTGATACTACCCAAAGGAACCACAACACAAAGCAACTTTATATACATAGTATAAAATCAATATTTTCCTCTCCTCCAGATTTAAACACATTTATTTCAATTATTAGAAAAGAATCTAAGACCTAGTTGAGAGAAAATGAGATGGCTAAACAGTGATTAAAAACACATATAGCAGTGATTTAACTCACTAAAAAACATTTAAGTAAGAGAGTAATATTATGAATTGTAGACTTTAGAATATATTGTGGTTGTCCATTTACTATATTAACTAAATGTCACATACCTTTCTCCCACCATGACTTTTAATATGTTCAGAAATTAGCTTACCTTTGCTTGTTCAAGTAAGCTCCACTAAAAGCTTGGGAATATTAATAGATAAGAACATGACATTTCAGAACCACAAAGGAATGATAATAGCTCTGGAAGAAGATCCCTCCACATTTAAAGGTCCTGTTTCAGGTATATACAGTATATTTAGAACGCAACCAATGGGGAGCTTTTGCCACAAAGCAGCTAACTGCCCCATAACCAACTTCAGCGTACAGGAATCCCACAGTGCTTTATTCAAACCCTCTTTAAGAGCTCAAATCCATACACATGGGTTAGGTCAACCATAAAGTAAGAGACTGTAACATCACCTCCCAGAGCTCATCCTGAACCTGCCATAGAACTATACAAAACAGAACTGTTCTTATATTCAAAAGCACCAAATTAGCCAAGACATACGAGCTCTGAATTTAGTGACCCCAAGAGGCAGAGAGCACTCCCAGGATCTGACATAATGAAGAGCACCGCAGTTAACAGACTCCAGAATGAAGAGGATACTCCCCCGGTAGCAGTGCTCACAGGAACACATAAGAAATAAACCACAAAATTAGGATTTCTCTGGGACTTCTCCTACTGAGCTCTCTCAGAAAGATCTCACTGTTTGATAATGCCTGGACTTTTGCGGGCATACTTCCTGTGGGTTTCATCTTCCCTATTAAACATGGAATACTGCTATTAAGGAAGTTGAAGAAAAACTCATTTTGTTTTCCTTTCCAGTGTGTCCAAACTAAATAAATCCACTTTCCTTGATAAGTCTTGTTTCCTAATTTCTTCTGGAATATAGGAAAATTGAAATTATGGACCCAAATTTCACATTCTCCTTGCAAAATAAATAGGTAGGTAGATAGTAGGCAGGTAGGTCGATAGACAGACAGACAGACAGACAAATAAGTGATGCACAGCCCATCCTACCCGCCCCCCCGCTCATTCCTGTGGTCTGGGGATGTACTGACGTGGAGCACATGCCCAAGCTGCACGTGCCTTACGTTTGATCCCCAGCAGGAGGGTGATGCCGAGAAGCACATTTGGATTAAATTACCTACTACTAAAGGTCTTCTGCAGAACACATCCTTTGGGACCGTTTAACAAAAGCTATCTTTATTGTCCCCACTCCGGCTATGCTGAAAAGAAACTGAACTGGTCTCAAGAGAACAACCCCACTGTGAAGGACATTTTATTTTATTTTTTAATTCAACAGTTTAGATTTTGAAGCAACTTTTATCTTTCCTAAGATTATCTTCAAAGCAGCACACATTAGAAGACCTCACAAGGGCTCTCATGAAATACCAGCTTTATAATAAACACTCAGATGCCCACTCCGATAGTACTATTTTTCCACCCAAAGAAGTACCTTGCTAACAGCCTCCCCATGCCCCACTTTACAAAGGACACAGTAACCCTGACTTATCTAAAGTTCACTCTGAAATACTGCACGAAGTAAAAAAACCTCTCTCTGTAGCTACACAGAAAGCATGCTCATTCCTTACATGACTAACGAAGGACCCAAACTTAAGATTTCCTTTTCTGAAGATGCCTCAGGTGCAGGCGAAGCACGTCAAAAAAAGAACTTCTCTGGTATGGTCCTCTTCAGAAGCAAAAAGGGGAGGCGACAGGGTCAGGACAGTGAGTGAGTATGCTTTTATCAGCCTGCAACCACTGTGTGTCAAAGAACTATCCACTTTCCAAGTGTCCCGTGAGAGCAAAGCAAATACAGTAAGAAATACTCCAGCGATGAGCAGTGTGACAGGACAGATAACCCCTGGGAGCCTGCCAGCACTCAGGAGGTAGAGGCAGTCGGATACTGAGTATGAGTTCCAGGTCAGTCAGGGCTACCGAGTGAGGCCCTGTCTCAACCAAGCAAACAAACAAAAAACAACTGGGACTCTGGGTTCAAATTAGGTTCAGTGACGGACTAGTTGTTAGTGCTTAGGACGTTATCAATTGCTGGGCCCAGTACCGCTGGGTCTTGGAAATCTGACTGAGGCGACGCGGGAATGAAGAAACTACAGACACTGAAGAAATGACAGACACACATACAGAAAAGCTGAGGTCGGGTGGGCTTCGCTCTCTCTGATGGAGAGCACTTACTAAGCAACCCGGAAACTCAGCATGTTTATTATGTACAGCACAAGGAGGAGGGTTAGTCTTGGCTGGAGGTGGGGGGGTCTCTGTAAGGGAACAGTCTTAGGCTGCAAATATCCAGGAGGAGGAGGAAGCTGCAGTTGGGAGGAGGAGGAGGCTGCAGTTGGGAGGAGGAGGAGGAGGCTGCAGTTGGGAGGAGGAGGAGGAAGCTGCAGTTGAGGCTTTCTGTACACACTGTCAACATTCGTGTTGGACCAGGGGAAGGCTGTGGCCCTGAGCCTGACCCAGAAAAGGCTTTGCCATGTCCATGGATCTGAGGCACTGGGTCCTTGACATGGCCATGCTCATGTCAAACCGACACATTGACTTAGGCCTTCCTCTGCTCCCTACATCTCCCCCTTTCTGATTTCTTAGATGCTCACGATGACTCTCCACGTTAGTCCAGAGGTGGCTCGCTGTAATGCTCAACACCAGACTGCAAGGATGAGAAGAGGGAAGATCGTAACAGCCGCTGTGCCCAACAAAAGCGAAAGGAATGCTCTAACGGTTAAATAGACTGAAGCCCGAAGCTTGTCCAGGACTGTTCTGTGGTATCAGGAGAAACCATCTCACAAAGGCCTTCTGCATTCCTAGGGTGTGCTGACATAACTGGGCCAAATGCTCACTAGCACTGTAGGTCCAAACCCCCAGGGTGGCCTCGGTTTGTCCCCAATCACATGTGCTGTTGCTGTAAGGGGCGGCTGTCACACAAGTCTGAATCTAAGGGCTGTAGCTCACCCCCAATAGCTGAAGAGAGCCCCCAGGACTCCAGGTGTTCACAGAAGGGTGTCATCAGTATAAACAGATATGGAAGGATGTGATCGAGCCACTAAACGAAAAAGCAGTGGCCTGGGGCTGTAGGTCCAGTAGGCTCTTCCCCTGACTGGACTTACCTGAATGGATATGATTACCAGACACATCAGAAATGTAGCCGCCGGGTTATTCCCCAGCCCCAGGCCTCGCGCTCCCTCCTCCGACATTTGCATCAGCCTTTTTATCTGCCCCCATGTTGGGGGCGTCGCCCTCCTGGAAGTTTGTGCAGGAGGCCTCCTCCTTGGAGAGCGCTCGACTGGCTTCAGGGGCCACACTTTCGGTTTCTCTGGGGGCTCCGGTCTCAGCCTCTTCACACCTGCAACCAGGAACTTCACTGCATCCACAGCTCTTTAGATAGATGCCTTGAAGGTACCCAAAGTGGCTGTTCCACACCTTCAGGGAAGACACAAGAACACCCTCCTCTTCCCCACATTAGCATGGGGAACAGGCCAAACCTTTTCCTGTCGTGGCATGTTTCTACAGCACCTTAGGTTTTATTTCCCTGTCCTTTGGTGGCCAGCGCCATTCTGTGGCTGTAAGGCCATCTTCTATACGATCTAAAATTTAATGTATATAAAGCCCTGTTTAGAGAATTGGTAGGGGCAGAGAATGTCCCCCTTTTGCTTTTCTAGTTGTTACCTGAGTCACATAGGGGACCTCTCTACATCAGCCTGTCCCTGAGGGTTGTAAGGGATGCCCATGTTGTGAGCTACTTTGTGTTTTTAATGCAGAAAAGGTATAAGCAGGAGCACTGTCCACCATGAGGTGCTGGGGATGGCCCATAGCGGAAAATGCAGTGAGGCAGTGAGCAATAGTGTTAGCAACCTCCCTGGGTAAGCAGATGCAAATGACATGACAACAGCGAGCAAAGGAACATGCACAAACTCCACTCTCCCAAAGAGACGACATTAGCACCCATCTGCCAGACAGACAGCATTGGGACATAATTCCAGGGTCACTGCCACCGTCATATGTGACAGGCTGGAAAGGACTAGTGGGTGCACTGCTTAACTGTTAGCCTAGCCTGCTCTCAGAAAATGGCAAAGTCGTTCTGTAAAGAGGAGGCACTTTGATGAT